TCTCTGCTCTTGCCACTGACTTGAATCTTGAATCGCTTATTCGTTGTTGATGAACCTGTCATGAAAGTGCTCTGACTTTTTCTGCCCTGCCTCTAAAAGTGTTTTGTGCTTGATTTGGTACTATCTCTGCTCTTGCCACTTACTTGAATTTCTTATCTGTTGTTGATGAACATATATTTTTTGTCGACTAACCCTGTGCCTTGCCCTTGCTGTTTATTGAGTGCTCGTATGTATGTGTTGCCTTTGTGATTGCTGTTCTTTTCCTGTCTTTGAAGTGTTGTGCATTTGTTTAATTTGAATGACTGTTTTGATGCTGATGCTGTACTGTTTGGTTTGAAATTTTCTTGACTCTGCTGTGTTCTCCATGCAATATTTTCCCTGTCTTATTTGTTTTGATGAAGGTTTGAAATTATTTCTTTCAAATTTGATGTCTTTTGGGTTTTGATGTGATGTTTGAATCTGATGTCCTGTGTCTTAATCTCTATCTCATATAATTTAAATGGCACTATATACCTACTTTGGGGTTTCCTTGGGTTCACTGGCTTGTTCTCCATCTTTCTTTAATTCTTTCTGGGGTTTTGGTTTGGTTTTAAAGCCTTTTCATTCTCATACTTATCACCCTAAGGTGCTGTTGCATATTGTACTGGGTGCTGCCAGTATTCATGACTTAGATAAACTTCAGAGGTACGTATTTGCAGTGAAGAAATATTTCTAATTGTGACTACCGTTCCCATAACTATTTTGTTTTTATTTATTCCAGGTGCAGCTACGATTGATTTTCACCACCATGGCATCGCAGTCAATATTTTCTCTAAAGTTATTTTAATGGACCAATCAGCATATATAGAGCTAGGGATTCTCTGTGATATTCCCACGTGGTAGGTATTGTTTCAGCAAGGTACTAGCACTATTTAACCTTAATGGTTCAATTAACATTTGGATTTCTTTTCCAGGTTTGCAACTCTCTTCTATATTTTCCACCAAATATTCTTCGTCGTTTGCTTATCTAGAAGTATTCCAATCTTGTGACATCTGCTCCGCTAATCACCTGTATATTAATTTCCCCTCCGGTAAGTACATTTGCATAGCAAGTGCTCCAATATTCCAAACTTTACCAGTGTCTTTAAAACTGATTGCTGTTTTTCTTTTCTATTGTAGGTTTGAGTTGAATTTCAAAGACTCGTCATGGCATTGGTCTTTCATTGACGATTATTTGTATCTAATTACCATGAACAATTGTAAGTATTCTTACATTTATGTTCAGACTTTTGATTTGACTTTTATTTGGGTACTAACTAATTCTAATGTCGATCCCTTAGGCCCATTTACCATGGTATGATTGAGATTTGAAAATGGTTCTGCCGCAGAGGTCGCACTTCTTTTCTTGATGAGGAGGCCACTTACTCGATGAGGGAGATGGATTGCAACGAAACACCCACACTGGTGGCACGTATTGCTCTATGTTTTATTTTGAGCTACAATATGCATTCTGAGAGTTACGATTTTAAGTTTTACTTTCTCTTTACCTTTTCAGGACTCAAAGTTGTGTCGCACATCTTTTCCTTTTTGTTTGAGAGAGAAGTTCCCGCGCTTTGCTGGAATTGATGTCTACCTGTCAACAATGTGCACAGCTTACTCCATTTAATTTCTCTCTGAAAGCCGTTTAAGGAACTCCTTCATCCTCTTTTTCTGTATGACGTAAGTTTCTTTTCATATCTCTTGAATAAGCACCTGAAGATTTTAAAAATTAACTGAACCGTTTTGTTGACAGGCAGCCAACCAATCAAAGTGACAATTTGGTGAATCTACCCACTCAGTTACGCTTGTTGTCTCCCTCTGTTGTGAGCGTGGTATGCCAAAGCTAAGTACACTTCTATTGTCTTTCTTCTCATTGTTAAGTTTTTAGACATTCCTCTACCACCACCTATAGTAACAATTTTAGCAAAAGAAAAGGATAGTTTGAGTTTGCACACCTGAGTCCAAATGGTGTCAAGCTTCCTTCAATTTTATTGAAATAACTTCAATATTTAGGGGGCTAAAAATTATTTAAACATGCTGTCATACGAAGTGGCACTAATTCTTCCCCATAATCGTTAAAAGAAACATGCATCTCACCCCAGCCACCTCCCTGCCCTTTCTCTGCCTTGAACTCTGATTACAAGTGAATTCCCTCTCTACCATTCCTTTTCTGTCTATTAAATTTGAAGTGCCCATAATGTCAATGATTGAGGATGTTCTTTTGAATGTGTCTTTGTCATGTTCTGGTTATTATTTTGCCGTACTCCTGTGCTGTTGTGCAACCTTGTTTCTTGAAAGTGTTTGATTGCTCACGGTTCTGCTACAATTTGTGCCTAAACTACTTGTACATGTTTCTCGTATGCTGTGTTTTGCCCTCTTATTGCACTGTTCTGCTACCTTGTTTCTTAAAAGTGTTTGTTCATGGTTTTTCTGCAATTTGTGCCTGTACTTCTATATTTGTGAATTTCTCTTGTGTTTATGAGTGTTCTTGTGCCTTTTGTATTCTGGTATGTCCTTATGCTGCTTACTAAGTGAATTTGACATTTAAATTGCAATGCTTTATTGAATGACTTGCCCTGTTGTCCCTTTGAATTTTGAACTAGTATTTTTGTCTCTCTGTCTTGTGGATTTTTTGTGGTTTGGTTTGTTTAATTTTTGTGGTTGTGATATGATATCTGTACTGCCCCCTTCCCCATCTCTTTTCCTCTTGACCTTTCCCAAAAGTTCCTTGTTTTATACTCCTGTTTGGCATACCTCTTTTAAATAAGCCAGTCAACTCCAATATTCTGTAAGTAAAAACTTGTAAAAGGTTTTATTTGCACTTTGGTCTCTACTGTGCACTCTCAAACTATCCACAACTATAGGAAGTGTTTATTAAAGTAATTTATGTAAAATCAATTTTGTTACTAATGTGTTACGCTTTATTCAGCTTGCAGGACGGTCAGTTTGGAGAATTGCCCTTCCTGTGGTGTGTTGCGGCTTGTTGATACTCCACTGGGACAATTCACTTCCACGCTGCAAATGGCTGCATCTCAACGCTGTTTTATAAGGTACAACATCACCCCCTTCTGTTTTATATTAATAGAAATATTTTTGAGAATACATACGATTTGCTAACTTTTTCTTTTCCATTTTATTTACAG